ATTGAATGACGATGAATTGAATAAATTCCAGGTTATTATTCAAGTTTATAAGATGATTTTTCAATTTATCAAAAAATGATAATACTAAGATTTGGTTGGACCATTGCTGAAATATTAGCGAAAGTGTTTCAATGCGCCATTGCAGCAACAAGAACTTGAAGGAGTTAAAGAGGTCGTGAAGGAACATGAATCAGCCGGTGTTAATGATGTAGGATTAACAGAACTAGGTTTTTTATTTCTTCATACTCTCTTTATACAACGTGGACGGCTTGAGACTACATGGACTGTTTTAAGGAAATTTGGATATGGTGATGATTTGTCGTTAAGAGAAGATTTCCTTCACCCTCTGTAACTATTTCAATTAGCTTTTATATATTTCTTTGTTTTACATTGTGTTAATATAAAATAACGATTATTTTTCTAGTTTTGAAGTTCCACGTGATTGTTCAGTTGAATTAAGTCCTTCAGGGTATCAATTCTTTACGGAAATATTTCAAGTTTTTGACAAAGTAATCCTTTGATCATACATCTTTAGATGTTAATATTTTATTGTAATTTTTACTCATTATTATTTTGCCTAAATTATTGAACATTTGGATCATAAGGACAAAGATGGTGCATTAAAGGATAGTGAATTGGTTCAGTTATTCAGTACTTCACCGGGAGATCCATGGGTAAATTCCGATTTTCCTCATACTACAATTACTAATGATGCAGGAGCTGTTACTTTACAAGGATGGTTAGCACAATGGAGGTAGGAGTAAGTGCTTGAATGTTTGTGCCAAGTAATGTAATGTTGATAAATTATGTTATGTCTAACCCAATTCGAATTATTCACAATTAAAAGTATGACGACACTTCTCGATTATAAGACAACGTTGTCGTACTTGGCCTATCTTGGATTTGAAGGCGATACAAGAATGGCCTTAAAGGTGACAAAGCCAAGGAAAGCTGATAGGAAAAGAAACAAAGTGCAACGTAATGTATTTTTAGCGTATGTATTTGGTGCAGCCGGTTCTGGTAAGGTAAGGTGTTTTGTTGGGCAGTAATATTTAGAATTATACAACGAATAAAAAAAAATATTGTATCTAATTAAATTACTGTCATTGTTTTTAGACTTCCCTATTGAAAGCTTTTGTTAACAAGCCATTTGCAAATGGCTACACACCCACTATGAGGTCATTTTGTGCAGTGAATTCCGTTGAAATTAAAGGTGCTGAAAAATATTTAGTGGTATGTCTTATAACAAGTACACTGAATGATATTAAGTTGACATGGTTTTGCTATTACTTACTAATGCCATTCTATTAGTTGCAAGAATTTGGTTCAAAATACGAAGCAGAAATACTTCAGAATAAACGCAAGATGGAAGCTTGTGATTTGCTTTGTTTTGTGTTTGATTCTAGTGACGTGAATTCATTCTCATATGTTGTAGAACTTCGGGTTAGATTTATTAAAAATTTTTATACAATGTTTAGATTTCTTTTTCCATATAGAGTTTAACATATCATTTTCATATATAGAAACGACATAATTTAGATAATTATCCTACAGTATTTGTTGCTACAAAGAGTGATTCTGATTTAGTTCAACAGGTTCACTATTACTAACACCTTTTCACATTGTATACTCCTTTTTGATAAATTTATTCATTAATTTATTTCATTAATTCTTTAGCGTAATGAAGATCAACCTGATGTGTATTGTCGTGCCCTCGGCTTATCTGGTCCTGTTAGTGTTTCCGTAAAGAAACAACAAACAGCAGATTTGTGGAATCATTTAGTGGGAGTAGCAATTAATCCGGTTCTTGCTACACCAGGGCTTGCAGGTTCAGCACATGAATCTTCTAGGGTCAAAAAATATTTGACGTTTACGGCAATTATGGGAGCTTTAGGAGGGGCAGCTTTCTTAGGATATAGATTATATCAACAACAACGAGGATTTGGAAATATATCGAAGCGAGATATACTATAGATTTATTTACTATAATTTGTTTTTCTTTTTATTGTTTTTTTAAGGCCTATAAAAGAGAGCATTAAGTTACGACAAAAGTAGATAATTTTTTTTTATTTTTATTATGCACTCGTTTATATATATTAAATTGAAATTCTTTTTAATTTTCTGCCATCTTATTAGACAATTGTATCAAACAGAAGCAAAATGCATTAAAAAAAATATATATATAATCTATATATATAATTTTTTTTATGTATAAAATTAAATTTTTATAATTTTAAAGAACAATCTTAGCCTTACATATAAATTCCAATATCATAAGGCAATTTTTTATGATTTATTTATAATAATTTTATAATACTTTGATCAATTTTTTAAATCCACACATGATTCCTTTAATGGAATATGTTTGCGTATAGCAATTGTTTAAGTTTAACGCAGTCGCCTTGCTTCACGTTCAGATTCCAATAGACACAAGATATCCTCTTCACGGACTGGTCCTTTAACGTTACGGATAATTGAACGACTTGAATCATCCATGAATTCAACTCTAACTTGAGTTACACCACCTCGAGAGCCAGTACGGCCAAGGACCTTAACGACCTTTGCAAGTTTAACTTGTTGTTTTGCGTCCTATTAAATCGAAATATAAATTAGATTTTAAATTTTAATGTTAACATTCTGAATCAAATTGATTCTTAATTACCATAATATATTTATTAAAATCAAGATGCAAAGATTATATTAAAATTTCTTCGTTGTTTTTATGATAAACCTTAAAGACGAAATGATGAAAGAGGATGAGATCAAAAAAATAATAATGGCCATTTTACATAAAAAAAAAAAAAAAATCTTTTTTGACCAATGAGAATGCTTTTGTACTTGGGTGATAATTTAGCGGCCGTTGAGGACAGAAAATTTTTCGAGAGAAAAATGGACAATTATATGTCACACATAATAAGTGTGACCCGGAAAAAAATCCGGCTACAGTGCAGAACCTCTATAATAGGAACTTTGATATAGTAAAAATAGAACAAATTTAAAATGCAAAAAAAAATTTTATTATATATAAAATTGAAAATTTAATCCATAAAATAAATAAACTATAAACTGTACTTTAAGAATCTTGGATTAGAATTTTAATATCTTCAATATTGATAAAGTTATACCAGGTTAAATTTATCTAAAATCAATTATAAAAACTAAAATTAAAAAAAATATGTGATGACGAATTTATAAGAATTATTCTTTTATAGTTTATATATTTTACTTAAAATATTATTATAAATTGAATTATATAAAGATATATTAGAATATAGCAAAAGAAATACATAAGAATATTGTAATTACATATAGATAGAATTATAATAAATTATTTCTAAACATTAAATTCAGTTTTTTAATAACAATTTAAAAATATGCATAAAAATTATGATGATTTAAGAATATGTATAGAAAAGGTATTACTAGAAAAATGGTAAAGTTTGCAGCTAAAAAATATAAGTTTCATATGTATCTAATGCAATTTATAATGAAATAATAAAATAAAATAAAATAAATTGTTTCATACAATTTTAATTCTAGTTTATAATTGGCTCATATATATATTACATATTGTTTACATAATTTACAAAATTGAAAAAAAAAACTTTTTTTTTTATAAATTGATTCATTTTTACAAATATAAATCAATTTTTTTTATTTGATAAAAATCCAATCAGTAGATTAAATTTTATTAATGTTTTTTAAGTTTCTATTATAAAGGTTTTACACTATACCATTCTTTTCTAACGATATTTAGTTTTTATCTAACACCTTACATGATCTTATATAATTCGTCATTCTATATCGCAAATGTATTGTTTTTGATCTATCAAATGATACTTTTTTGATATGCAAGTTTATTCACTCTATTTTATGCGTCTTTTTAATTAAATTTATGCATCTTTCTTGATACGTGATATTTACACTTTAAATTTTACAAACTTTATCACTTTTTTAAATAATAATTTTAAATAAACTTCATTACTTTAAAAATAAAATTTTATTAATTTTTTATCATTTTAATTATTTTAAAATTTTAAAATTTTTGTTATAGTAAATAAAAATATATATATATTAAATATATCATATAGAAGGAAATTATGAATATTTAATTTAATATAATAATGATAATACTGTAAATGTTCCTTTTAGACATATTGCAGAATGGTACATTTCAAATCATCTATTGCTAAAAAATATTTGTTTAAAATGTCAAAGTCGAAGAAGAACTTCTAAAATAATTAAAATAAATCTTATTACTGTAAATTAAGTAGAAGATGCTGTTGATTTTATTAAATAGAATACTAAAAAAGGAGATATAAAATCAACAAATAGGATAGATGATATTATAAAATTAATATTGAAGGTAAAAAATATGTTAAACAAAATAGAAATAAAAGAAAAGAAAGATAAATCATGTTAGACTTAGATAATGTATTATTTAGGAAAAAAAAAAATAGCTATCAACATGAATGTAGAGAAATTAGTAGTTATATAGAAACTTATACAAATTTATTCTCTTAAAATAATATAAAAAATTATCAAAATATGCATTTATGTAAAGTTCATGTTATTTCTAAATCAAAACTCTTCTGGTTAAATAAAAATATCTCTTCAAATTAAAATTGTTGGATCACATTTATCAATAAATATATTTCTAGATTAAATTTATCATGACAAGTTAAAGATAATATTATACCGTATAGCACTACATATAGTATCTTCAATTTTAATTAAAAAAATCATGTTAGCTTGAATAGTATCCTCAGAGGTATTATGTAAGAGGTAAGGTAATATACTAGGAGGATATACTAAAAGAGGAATATTAATTAGTGTAACTAGATAATCTACCGTAAATTAAAAAAAAAATAAAAAATCAACAATAAAAAAATTTTTTTTTTCTTTCTTAATATTTTAAGTTTTAAAAATTTGAAATAAATAATTCTTTTTAAAAATGATTTCAATACTTTATTTAAGCTTTCAAAAGGACTTTTTAATATTTTTTTAATATTAAATAATATAATTATTAAAGTTAATAAAACTAATGCTAAAATATTGCTAAAACTATTCAAAAATACATTTTAAAAATTCATTTTCTATATTTAATAATTTATAATTCAAATGATTAAATGATTATCATTGAAATATTTTGTTAAATAGAATACGTAACTTTTTTATTCATTATTTTTTGTGTCTTATTTTTTTAACTTTTTACAACTTATACAACTTAAATTTATCATTTTAACCTTTTTTTTAATGTGTTCGTGTGCAAATAAAAGAACAAATTGTTTAACTATAACAGAAAAGGTACAAAGATAATGAAATGCACGTAAAAAATAATAATTATTTTATATCATAAAAATGGTTATAGTAAAAACAAAATTATAGTTAAATTTAATATTGAAATAAAGCAACTTTGAGACTGGATATCTAAAAAATTACAACTTTTAAAGGCTCAATCAGGTTTAAAATGTTTAAATAAATGTTTACCTCTAAAATACCCTGCTTTAGAAACTGCTTTAGTTGAATAGATAAAAGAGAGAAGAAATAATCAACAAACAGTTTTACAAAGTATGATACAGATGAAAGGCAAAGCATTTGCGCAATAAAGTCAGTAGCAAATCACATGTCCTAATATTTAATCTTTGCTTTTAATAACAAGTGAGTAGATGGTTTAATGAGTCATAATAATTTAAATAATCATTATCATACTACTATCGCATAATGTTTACCAGAAGATTTAATTAAAAAGCAACAGGAATTTTTAGCATTTATTATGTATAGACGCATTCAGCATGATTACCCTTTAGCATTAATTGATAATATGGAAAAAACTTCAATGACATTTAATCTGACAGCCAATACTACTATTAATAAATAGGAATACAATCTGTTAGCATTCATATAACAGGACATGAAAACCTAATTTTACAGTAGTTTTAACTTGTATAGCTGATGGAACTAAACTTTCTCCTCTTGTAATTTTCAAATTTAAAAAAGTTCTGCGAGATAATTTTCTACAAGAAGTTATTGTTCAAACCAATCTAACTGAATGGATGAATAAAAATAAAATGCTTTATTAGATTAAAAATGGTTGAATTAAATATGCAAGACTTTCAAATCCACAATCATTATTAGTTTTGGACTCATTTTCTGCACATCTTATTAATTCTATAAAAAGGCGTTTTGGTAAAAAAAATACCAATCTTGCTATTATTCCTGAAGGATTAACATCTCGTTTACAGCTTTTGAATATTTTAATAAATAAATCATTTAAAACAAAGGTAAGAAACTTAATATATTTAATTTTTAAAAAATTAATTTAATAATTACTTTTATTTTTCTATCTTATTTTATAGATGTGATATAATTATAATAATTGGATAACTGATTCTATAAAAGAATTAATACCTGCTAGTAATATTAAAAGACCTTCTTATAAAACTGTAGTAAACTGGATTAATAATTCATGGAATACTATTGATGTTAATTTAATTCAACAATCTTTTAAATATTGTGACATTTCTAATAAACGTGATAGAATAGAAGATGAATTAATTTTTAATTGTAATTATTTTAAATAATTAGATTAATCAAATGATGGATAGTAATAGATAATGAAGGTCAAAGAGAAAATATTAATAAGAATATTGATGATTATTATAATGAACAAAAAATAAATTATACTAATATATGGAATAATTAAAATTTTTTTTTTTTTATAATCATTTAATAAATATAATTTTTACATAATCAAACATTAAATTATTAAGTAATAAATAAAATTATAAAAATTCGTAAGCAATATATTTATTTTTAATTAGTATTGAAGTATTTTTTAAAAAGATCAGCATTTGCAATTGAATAATATCCTGATATTAATTAAGGGAGATACTTTTTCAGAGGATACTATATGCAGTGTTATATAATAATTAGTCATAGATCAGATCATTATATAACTAGTTTAGTTAAATCAAAATTATTAACACCTTTTAATAGAGTAAAAGAGAATGAACTAAAAGAATTACTAAAAAATCAACATCAAATATATAATAATAATAAACCTAAAGCATATTTATCACACAATAATAAAAGATTAAAAGAAAATATAGGTCTTTGGACTATTTAGTTATAAAAATGTTAAAACTAAAAAAATATATTTTATTTTATTAATAACCTGATCTTTTATAACGTGAAAATGAAAGATATTTTTATCAGCTTATTTTATCTAATGAATTTTAGCTATGAAATAATAAAAATTTAGACAAAATTGTATTAGAATGAATTCTAAATATGATTTAAATAATAATTATAAATACCTGCTAAAACCTCCTCAAAATAATTTCGTCATACCCTTTTTTATGTTTTTAATATAGTTTCGACAGTTTTAACTTTCATCGTATCGAATGGATTTCGTCATATCCTTTATTATAATTTTAATATAGTTTCATCTAAGTTTCGACTATTATTAAGGGGTTTCGTTCCTCATCTATAATAATAATAAAGCTCTGATATTACAGTCAATCCTCTCTACAATCACATCTTATATAATCACACCCTCTTTATAAGCACACTATATTTTAATTCTGATTTTTTAAAATATAAAAATCCTATTTATAATCACATATTAATTATAATCACTATTACAACAATTATTAAACTGAT